GAACCCAGACTGTTTTGCCTGAGTAGCAGATTTCCATATACCTCAGTATGAGTTTGAAGTTTTTTGATTTATGTAGACTCTGTTCTTTCAAAGGTGTGTACAACTGTAGACCTTTATACCTACCAAAGTGATATCTTATCAAGTACTGAGGAAGACACAAGAGCAGGTCCCGTTGGAGAATAAGAGCCTGATTTTGCAAAGAAGAGCCTTCTTTCCAGCAAGTTTAATCTTTCATGGAAACAGCTGTAAACTGGAGGCCGCAAAGTAGCTTAGCATTTGAAACTTTTTAATTGTACCCAACAAGGTTCTGGATATTTGAGTGTTGTAAGCCTCATCATGTAATGCAAATTCATATCCCTTTTGATTGGTAAAAGACTATAAGAAAGATTTGGGTCAGTACTGCTAAAAGAAAGTAGCATGGACTCTAGCTGGTTGTTGCCTTACACAACTTGATTTAAATAAAAAGTGCTAGATCTTTCCACACTAAAGAAGCCATTATCCTTGGAGGTAACAGGCGTGCTTCAGTCTTCCATCCTGTGACAAAGGCAGTTGATTACGGTGCCTAAATACATTTCTGAAGCTATCTTATTTCTGTGGATTCCTACCATTCAGATTTCCAGTCTGTGCATGGACAGAGTTAATATCTTTGTTCATATAGTTTCCTTCCAGGAGTGAACAAAATCATAGAATCAGGGAATATAATCATAAAACAATGTAGACTGGAGGGAACCTCTGGAGGTTATCTGGCCAAGCCCCTCCTCAGAGCAGGGGCAGCTTAGATCAGCGTGCTCATGGCAGTTATTCAGCTGAGCTTTGAGCATCTCCAAGGACGAAGATTCCTCAGCTCTCTGGGCCTATCTTCCAGTATTTGATTATTCTCATTGTGAAAATGTTTTTCCTAATAGCTAACCAGAACTTCCTTTGTTGCAACAAGCTGGAGAGGGACTTTTTAGAAGGGCCTGTAGTGATAGGACAAGGGGTAGTGGCTTTAAACTGGAAGAGGGTAGACTTAGGTTAGATATAAGGAAGAAATTCTTCCCGGTGAGGGTGGTGAGGCAGTGGCACAGGTTGCCCAGAGAAGCTGTGGATGCCCCATCCCTGGAAGTGTTCCAGGCCAGGTTGGACGGGGCTTTGAGCAACCTGATCTGGTGAGAGGTATCCCTGCCCATGGCAGGGGGGTTGGAACTGGGTGGTCTTTAAGGTTGCTTCCAACCCAGACCATTCTATGATTCTGTGTCTGTATTGCCTTTCATACTGTCACTATGCACTTCCAAGAGGACTCTGGCTCCATCTTCTCTATATTTTTCCATTAGATAATTGAAGGCATCAATATGCCTTCAACTCACCTCTTCAATATCCCTCTCTCCCCGGTGTTCTCTTAAGACTGAACAAGTCTTGCACTGAACAAGTACATCCGTTACATCTCGTACCTAATAATCCTTCTAGCCCACTGCCCCCTTGATCTAGTAGGTTAACGTCTGTGTTGTATTGGGAGGCCCAAAACTGGAGTAGATGGCATGGCTGACATGCATCTGGCCTATTACTATTACATCTGGCCATCTATTACTCCTCAGTCCGAATTATTTTGCTTACTCTTAGCTGGTTTGACTGAAAGTAGCTTTTTCAGTAATTGAAGACTCGAAGTCCTATCCTCCCACAGTAACAGGATATCTTAACTACAGTGCTCCACATCTCATTGATGAGGGCTAAGAAACAGAACTGTTTACAATGAAAAAGGTATTTCCTGCAAGAATGCTTTGCATTAGTGGTACTCTTGATTAAAGTAGTTTAATTACAGTGGGTCATGGTATAGCCTGTTCTTATAGATGGTATCGCTCAATACTTTTTATATCACCGCAGCATAAAATACACTTCCTCATCATGGCCTTCTGACTTTAAGCATAGGGGAAGAGGACAGTGTAGAAATCACTTTCAAATCCTGGGGACTGTATGTGTAATGTACTGTTAATTTAACTTCTATTTCTAGTGCGCTTGGAGGATCATCAGCCCTTCACATCCCAGCCTTTCCTGGTGGAGGTTGTCTTATCGACTATGTACCTCAAGTGTGCCAGCTGCTAACAAACAAGGTAAGTTAGTAAAGAGAACTCAGTTTTCCTTTCCCTTATGTGCAGTAACACGCTATAGCTTTTCCTTACACATAGTTTTTCTTCTGCCGGGTAGTCCAAGCAGGGCATACTTAAGGTGAACTACACAAGGAATACCTTCTTGATAAGAGCTGAGCACCTAAGCAGCGCGTTGAATAAATGACTCTTCTAGGTAAACAAGCGTGTTTGGGATCAGATCCTGGAGTGAATTTTTCTTATTGTATCATACAACACTGCATTGTAGCATACTATTTTGCTAGTGAATACAAATGTATGGTTTGCATATATATTTCCAGTTGGAAGTTCTCATACCATAGTCATCATTGTAGCTTTTGAGTACTTTTGGTGATTTTCTTCTCAGATGTTTCATCCAAATGAACCGAATCAGTGGTCTGTTTGGATGCTTGTACAGTAATAGCGACATAAGGTTACTGAAAAGGTTGTGTTCCGGTTAGCTTACTATTTAAACAAAAAAGAGTGAATATAGTACTTTGAAAGCTTTCCCATTATTTAAGTGTAATTTTCAAAAGAAAGCTTAGGAGCCAACATCTAGGAATCTTCCTATTTGTATTTGTATATTATTTTTACCTTCAATTGTCCAAAAGAGGAAGATAATTTTATCTTTTAGAAAAAGTTCTTCAAAATGAGTTTCCATAATTATATTGGAATCTATCTTTAGAGTTGTTTTTGTTGTGGTTTTCTGTTAAAATTGCTTTCTGTTTTTAAAATCTGCAAGTACACAGGATGGTTTCTATCCTTTCTTAAACAAAGTCACTTAAGCAAACTTATCGTGTGTTTTCCTTTTCCCAGAATAACATTTCTGATCCTATATAAAGCATTCAAAATAATCATAGTTTTTTATAAAATTGAAATAAATCTCAATTTATAAATAGAATTTAAGGAGTACAAGATAGCTCTCAGCAATGATTGTATCAAGGCTTTTTAAAAAAATCTAGGAAAGCATGTGCCAGCCAAAGAATTCTAGTATTACCATAGCCAAGAAAAATATTCTTCCTGTTCTTTTTGTGTTCAGTGAGGAAAAACGGATTTTAAAATGTTAGTTTTCATTCTGGAAGGCAAAGGGATTTACATAGGGATTCCCATATGGAACCATACTGTAAGTACTTGAAGAAACCAGTTGTAAACCAGATGCTCTTGCAGCCTGACAACACATGCATTGTTTCTGCTATGGGTCAAACCCTGTTCACACTGTTCTGCTAAGTAATCCCGTTCAAGTCAATAAGAAAACATAACATGGTGCAAGGAGAATTTTGCCTTGCGTCTTCCAGGTTTAGCATTGTTGGATTTTGTCTGTGCCAGGATAGAAGTCTTTCAAAACCCAGAATGCCTCAGAAATTGATACTCACTGTGGAGTAGTTGGCTCCCTGAGTCAGCATGAAACCACTGAGAGAGCTTAGTGTTAAGAAGATTTTGTTGAAGGTGCAGTCTTCAGAAAACACCCAAGATCAGTTGTGAAATATTTTTTTTTCTTTTGTTTTATAACCAAAATGTTATTTTGACACTTAACCACCTGTCAGTTCAGGTAATTATGATTTGCCTATCACGACTTCCTGCTCAAACTTCAGCAAGGCAAGGTCACACATTTCTTTTCTTCACTCTATCTTGTGCAGTTAAACAGCACTTCAATATATTGTGAAAGAATGGATTTCAGTCAAAAGTGAGTGAAGAGATTTCTTTTCAAGATTTTCTATGTGCAAGATCCACTGTTTATTTTAAAGGCAATTTAGGATTCTTTAGGGAAATCATGTAAGCGAAGTGTAGGATTCAGAACTACTACCATGTTAAACATAAATCTTCCTTAACAAGGAATATATGACAAATTGGGAGCATTGGCTTTTTTTATCTTTTTCTATCTCTGGATTTGTTCTTTTCTTTCTTTTTTAAGGTACAGTATGTTATTCAGGGATACCATAAGAGAAGAGAGTATATCGCAGCTTTCCTGAGTCACTTTGGAACGTAAGTTTCCTTTTGATGCGTTATTTTCTGTAGCATAGGGGAAAGTGTTGTTTTCTGCACGTGGTCTTTGGTTGTGTGACTGCTGTCCACTGGATAAGATGAACCCTGATCATTTTTCACAGAATGACATGTATAGCTTGTCTCTCTGTAGCAGTACTGGAATGAAGTTCAGCACTACTTCATTTCTGTGCCAGCTGCCAATCTGATTTTGCTAGAAAATAGCTGATTATGGGAAAAGGACAATGGGGATTTTCCCATCATGCAAAAGAAAAGTGCACATTTCAGAATAAATGACTGAAGGGGTCTTACAGTAATAGGCAGTGGCTAAAGTGGAAGGACAGGGAAATGGGTACAGTTCCAAACCTTGCAGGAGCCAGAAACCACTGCTTGGTGTAAAGGCAGGACTGGGAGACCAGCTGCTCCCACCACCGAGCAGTATCTTGTCTCGAGAGAGGAAGGGCTGTCAGATCCTGTTGAATTCCTGTAGTTCAAAGGTCCGTGGCCTGGCATGATGACACATTAGCTTCACAAATCAACTAAACAGGGGAGCCTTGGCACTGTGAAGGGTAGGCACTTTGGTTTCCCACCTAAATCCTGACTCGAGCGAGAGTCCAGGAGCTGATGCGACCACAATTGCCTGACTGGTAGTGCTTTACCTCTTTGTGAGGAAGAGTTTTCTGCTTCTGAGTGGTGATGCCAAATAACATGAATATTCAGGAGCCCTTCAAATCTCAGGTCTCTCAAGTGAGGGGAAGAAGACAGGTTGTTTCCAGCATGCACCCAAATTTTACACAATTATCAATAGATAACAATGAGTTGAACTGGACGTATGAGTACATAGAGAGTCGATGCAAGCTCATCCTTATGAAAACAAGACATTTCTTTTTCTTCTGAGAAAACTGCAGTATAGAAATGGCCCAGGTATGCCTATGATTTTATTTCACTTGTGAGGTGGTTCGTGAGTCCTGACAGTGCTTGAGACTTTTAGAGAATACCGACTCCTGACAGTTGAAACTGAACAAGTCTTCTATATTTATTTTTTTGTATGCTCTCATGCTTTGCTTTTTTTATATATACCCTGTTTGAATTTTCAAATTTAAACTCTTCTCAGCCTGTGCATTTTCAATTTTACCCTGTCCCTTACTACAGAGTTAATAAATTATCTTAATCTGAGTAACATACAGGGAATTTGTGTGTATACACCTTTTATCAATTTAGTACTGCAGATGTATTAGCAGGTCTCCTTTCATTCTAAAGTGTATTTCTGTAAACTGAATATTGCCTTTCTTTGGATAAGAAATTCCAACCACAGCATAAATAAGAAGATTATTAAGATTAAAAATTTAATCTAATTTTCATTTAGCTAGACAATTGTAACTGTTAATAAATAAAGTAAATACTGGAAGCTTCTGAACAAATGAACAAAATAAAATTCCCTGTAATACATAATTTACCTATTTATCATTCAATATTAGAGTGAATGGTAGGTAAAAATTGTATTCATATTTTTGTATTTTTTGTTGATAGTGGTGTGGTGGAATATGATGCAGAAGGCTTCACAAAGCTTACTCTGTTGCTGATGTGGAAAGATTTTTGCTTCCTTGTTCACAGTGAGTAACACTTTGCCTCAGGCATAAAATGTCTATCCTCTTGAAGATACAAGTTCAAAAGGGAAAAAATAGAATTACAGGAAACAATTTAAGTTTTAGCTATTTTCATCTAGTGCTTAATGTATTTTTGATGTGACCATGACACTTTGAAAACACAAAATCCTGATTGTATGTGGAGAAGGGAAGAGGATCCACATCAATAGCATACTGCCTGCTTTACAGAGCGCTGAAAGCATTGTGGGAAGGTTTTCTGGTAATTTGACTCAAAATTAAGTTCACAGTTGTAACTCATCCTTTCAAAAGTGTCAATAATGAGGACCAGTACTATACATAACCTGAGAATACCTAAAATAATCTAAGTGTGCTACAGTATGTAGCTAGATTTGCTGTCATTTGACATTTTTAAATCAAGATTGTATTAGTTTCATAAAAGACGTTCTTAAACAAATATCTAGGAGTTACTTCCTGTCAAAATTAGTAAGTATGGCTTTGTTACTGCCTTATACATGTTACCTTAAGTAGCAATTATTATTTTTCCCTATGGTAAGGTGAAAGGCACAAGTATAAAAGATATTTTGGTCTGGGGAAATTCAGTCATGTTACCCTTTATTTTTGATTTTTACACTTCTCATCTTTGTTTGAAGTAATTACAGTGCAATCTAGGCAGCTGCAACATTGGTGTTTGTTAACAGTCTAGCACTAGAATATTTCAGATTACATCATCTTTGATTGTGGGCTAGCTTTTCATGTGGAAAACTAATGATGTCTTAATGACATTATAGAAATTTGTCCCAGAGTTTTTAAAGCAAGAAGTGGGGATTGCCACTGTTCAGAGAAGTCCTTCACCCTATATTGTCATGGAAGTCATAAAAAGTGGTCTCACTGATCCCTCTCTTTTTGTTGCCTAAGATTTCCAGGCAGTAATGACTGTAAGAGGTCTAGAAAACTCAAAACTGAAATTAAAAAACTTCTGTCATATTAGTATGGTTTACGTTGTGGAAAAAAAGAAATAAAACTGACTTTTTTTTTAAATTGTCCTTATTACATCTTTATTTACTCTTCAACTATAAGTGAGAATTGGTCGCTGGGCAATTGTCTTCTATCAGATGATGCTTCTTTATGTTACAATCTTCTTGAAGCTTTCCTACCTTTCTTACTCCCCAGTATGTTTGGCTTGATTTAATCAGTGTTAAAATTTCTGTGGATTGATTTTTGCTGTGGGATAATATAACTAAATAGATGTTAAATCAGTTAGATTTCAGGGGAATCAAAATTCAAATTTCTGTTAAATAACAGAGTAGGTTTCAACTGTGTAATATTCAGAGTGCTCAAATTAACTGGGATGAAAGCTACAATTATAACTGAATAGTTTATCACTATGTATTAACCCTGTGGCCTTAGAAATCATACAGTGGCTTAGCTGTGTAAGCCATTGCATCACCCACTTGTTGAACAATCCACTGCAAAAACATTTATGTTCCATGCGCTGAAGGATATTGCAATGAAAGGACCGAAACCTGCACTTCATTTCCTGAGTGAAGTAATGTAGGCTTTCATCTCTTAACCACTGACATAACTATGTATATTATGGTTGAATATTTAGCAAGCGTCTAATAAAATGTCTGGGAGAGATAGCTGTAAGTTGAAAACTGTTCTACTTTATATGTGTACTATAGAATGTAGAGAAAGTATTCAGAGGAGAATAAATAGGTCAGTATACAGCAAGCACCGTGGCAAATCAAATGAAAGGAACCATAGTAAATTTTACTGGCATCTTAATTTTGATTAAAATTTTAGGTTTAATTGAGATTATGAGAAATATAAATCCTAATGTGAGTTGTAATTCCTCTAAAAGATGCATTCCAAGATTTCAAAAATAACTGTGGCCTTTTTTTGCAGATGTTTGCGTTCAAACTTAAAAACTTGTTTGGAAACTAGGAGGCAAAACACATTAGAAGTAAAGTGAAATTATTCAGAATAGTTTTATTGAGTAAACTGAGTTAAAGAGGAGAGAAATGGGAAAGCAGTTCTGGATTGCCAAAGCTCAATAACCTCAGAACAATTTCACTTGCTAAAAAATTGATTTGTGCTGTAGTTGCAGAATGAAGAACAAAGTCTATCCACTCTATCTTAAAACACAGAAGAGCTACTTAATTGCGAACTTAATCATTAGATTAATGTAGCTGCTGAAGTTATTATATTAGATCAAAGAGCAGTCAAAGGAGCTGTTGCTTTGGTGGTTTAGTTTTAAGAATTAATCAAGTGCTTTCAAATATATGACAGAAGAAATATACATTCAGAGAAGTTCATGCATCCACATGGAAGAGGAAATCGTTAATCAGGCTTAGTGCTTTTGATACTGATACTGTTTATGAGTAAGTCTCAGTATGAAGCTTTGCAAGTAAACTTCAATATACTGCTATATTTCTTTCTCTTCTTGTTTATAAATCAGCTATCATTAGTTTTTTGGAGATAGATATTTCTTCGTATTCTTGTTCGTGCATGCATTCTGTGTATTTATACGGTCTGTAAATGTAAACACAAGTTACATTATCTGTGCGTAATTAAGAATTAAGTAGCCTTGTTGGTGTGGACACAAGAATAGGACTCCAAAGCAACCTGTATATAGGCTTTTCAAAGATTAATTTTTATCTTACAAGATTTTTAGGTTATAGGCACAAAGGAGATTGACCGAAGTTGGCCCAGTTGCAATAGCAAATGAAACACTGCTTGTGTTAGTAGTTATTTGTTTAAGACATCTTGAAAAGGACAGAAATTAAACTAAAAAGACTTTGTATCATTGACCAATATTTTGGGGGATGGAGAATGTTGGAAGCTGCCAGCATTTGTATCTTAAGTTTGTACGGGAACTCAGACTTAGGTGAAGTTGGTGGGAACACTTGCTGCCACTGACCTTGGCTAACTGTAAGGGATTTCAGAGTCTGTGTTGGGTAATACCAGTGACCCAGGAGGTCCAAACTGCTGGTCATGTAAAAGCTAAAGTTTAATTAATGAGCTTTCTTGCTATGGGACTGCCGACTGAAGTAGCTTTTTGTCCACCCTCTTACCTGTCTGTGCAGTTATGTGGCTACCTCTGTCAGAGAATAGGTCAGAAATAGGCAGCATCTCAGCAACAAGGAGGTTTTTACACAGGACAGAGGAGCGAGCAAGGGGCCTAGAGCATTAATTGAGTTATAGGAGGTTATACCTATGAATATCAGGCTTTGGGCAGACACCTGCTTCTGGATTCAGGGATTTTTGGTGGAAGTCATTAATGCTAGCCTCTGATGCATTTCTGTTTGGGTATTGTTATCTGGACATGTTTATCAGCAGGCCGGTTTGTGCCAGTGCAGTTGACTGACGTGGTTTGAATTGATGGCCTGAGCTAAACAACTGGGGTTCGTTCACATAAACCTCTTTTGGATCTGGATTAGCACATGTCTGCAACCTCAGAAAGCAGCTTGGAAAATAAAGACACAAAGAATTTTTGGTAGCCGTGTTTGACAGATGAGGCTTGGGAGGAGGGGGAAAAAATGCAACACTTTGGGAAAGAGCATTAATAGCTGGGAAGCCAAGTTTACATTGCTGCACAAAGAAAGTGCAGTTTGTTCCAGTAGTGTTCAGAGAAAGAGGAAAGTATGCCCACTCACTGTAAATAAACAAAATTGCATTGAAGAAGTAATTCCTTCTATCGATTCCCTTCCCAAGCAGAAATAACTCATTAGACTTCAGATATTGTTTTAATCATTCAGTAGAGCAACAATAATCCTTAGAATTTAGGTAAATGTTATTTTTTGGGGCATCTGGTGTAGCATCAGGTGTTACCTGCCCTTTAAAGGAGATTGCCTCACCTCTGGAAAGTCAACAGAACAAAGCTAATGACCATTCATCAGCCACTTCATCTATTCCTCCAGCAGCTGTTTAAATAAACAAGTTAGACTTTGTGGTAGTAAATGGCTAGCAAGGAGGTTTGGTAGAGTCTTAAATGGAAGATTTTTCCTAGATGAACATGTGTCTGATGGTTTAGTGTTTGCTGTTTGGGTTTAGGAGAGCTTATGTGAGAAGGCAAAAGTATTTTCTTTCATCTAAGATTGTATTTATTGTTCTTTTTTAAATTGCTTCTGCAGATTCCTATTTGAAAATTCACATGCCTACCAAACTTAACTCCACAGTCACTGAGATAAACAAATTATTTCTTAAATATTTTTATTATCTGAGCAATTTGGAACCCAAAACATGAGACTGTTTCATGTAAACATTCCTGTAAATATTTCAGGAAACCTTTATCTGCCTGTAGTTTTGGCCCTAAAGCCCTCTCTGTTATATATGACTTCTAGATCTTGTTAAATGTAAATGTGAGAAGTAGCTAGTGGCTGTTGTTTTGATATAGTGTTTAATGTAGTTGGAATATGCTCAATGATTCCTGTGTACTACTGGAGTATGAATAACCATCTGAGTGGGGTTGGTAGTTTTAGAGATACATTTTTCTTAGTTTTCGGTCGTGTAAGACTTGCTCACGTACCTTTTGGAAGCTGAAAAGAAGGTAGCCTTCAAGAGTTGCTCTTCTTCATCAATATAATGCCTGGCAGTCATCACAATTAACACTTAAAACTCCAGGAAAAAGTCTTTGGAGGAAGTTAAGGTTTCATCGGCTCTACTTCTTCAGGGAAGTTAGTCTGATGATGAAAGAGAAGTCTCTTCAAGAAAAGGTATGGGAAAATAAACTTCTGTCTGCCTGAGTTGTTTCCTAAAAAAGGGCCAAGTGTTGAGTGGAATATTTCCATTAGATGGCTTCTGTGAGCTTTTGTCTAATGAGGTGTTTTGGCTTCCTTACATAGTGCTTTTATTTTATTCTTCCCATTGTTCCTTAAATGAAAATGGAGATTTATGACTCTGTGAAAACTGAGAGAGAGGGAAAAAGAGAACATGGCTGTGTGAATAATAAGGTCTACGAGAATGGAACCGATGTCTGGTAGTGTCAGGAGAGCAAGATAGTTCAG